AGCCTCTGGGCCTGATTCCGGCCCTGGTCCTAACTGTGTACCTGGCCACAAAACGGACAACAGCACATTAGTAAAAACACATCAGTAAATAAATAAATAAGAAATCAACTTAAAGTTGAAGTCTTTCCGATGCAGGCCTAAGTAAAATGGCCGTAGGGCCTCCAGCTTGCGGTGACGCGACCTGGGGGCCCTTATCCAACCTCGGGTCCCGTGAGGGGCCCGTGTGGAGGCTCTCAGCATGTAACAAAAACCTAGAGAATGGCCGACTTCTCAGCAGATTTTTCAATCCATTCAGAACTTAGAAAACCAGCGGGGGAATTGCTTCTAAAACCTATAGTGGACAGCTGTGGTCAGCAATAGTAGACTGCTGTTAAGAAGAATGGTACCTGCTGCTAAGAGCAAGAATAGTTACTGCTAAGAATGGTCATGGTCTGCGGTCATAAATGGCGATGGATTGCCGTTTAGAACAGCAGTGGACCATTGTCGAGACAATCCTCGATTGTCATAGCAGCGGTCTGCAACAACAGACAGCAACTGCTGCAGCTGTAACAGTGACTACAACAGCAGATTTGGTAGCAGCTACAACAACATTCAGTAGTTCCAGCAACTGAGCAGCTATAGCAGCAGCAAGCAGTTGCAATCTGCTGTAATAAAGCTGCCTGCAGTCTCAACATTCTTCACAGCCACCAGCTGCTGCAGCAACAACCAAATGCAACATTCTGTTCTCAGCGACGGCAGCAGCAACCAGTAACTGTCTGTAGCCTTTGCAGTCAATAGCTGCCCCTAGCAGCAATAGCAGCATACATCAGATATTAGCGGCAGCAGCTACAGCCAGGAGATAGCTGCAGTTGTGCCGGTCAGTAGCAGCTGCAACAGCTACTATAGTAGCTGCAGCAGTTACGGCCCATCATTGCAGCTGGACATGTGCATCTGGACTTCACGTTCATGGACTACGGCTACAGGTAAGCACAGGCTCATAGGCCTACCCAACTCACAAGTACCGCGACAGGTCGCATACACACCCATGAATTATTTAAGTCAGGCAAACACGCTGAAACTCAGCAATCACGCACACTTTTCTATATGAAAAATAAAATAAATCTCAACGAACTACAGGAACGTCAACATGCCACTCTGTCAAGTGGCAAAACTCGTAGAACAGCAACAGGTTTTTCAACCTGTGATTCAGCAGATTATTACACTAGAAAAGGGATTGTAAGTTTAGAGTATTGGGAAGGCATGTGTGGGGCACTTCCATGAAGTCCCTGCCTGACACCAGCCCCCGATTCCATGTCTCAGACATGAATGGCGCACCCATTCAGGTATACGCCGCTCCACCTGCTTACAAGGTAACTACGTGCATGTCCTTTCCCTACAGGAACAGTAACTAGAAATAAATAAATAAATAAATAAGTAAATAAATAAACAGCAACAGTAATATATACAAGCTACCTTGCTAGGCAGGAGCGGTTGTAGGCAAAGGGGACGAGAAGAGAACAAACAAGGGGCCGTGATAGACAGTTTCATCGAAGATTCTTCAACTCGTCAGAAAACTGCTATAATGGTGATGATCCTCTGTCTCCACCCCTTTCTTCTGTCCGCCTGTACTTGCCCCCATGGGCAATGAAGATATGGACAACTACGAAAAACTGTTGACTCGTTTGACTTTCAGCGGGCACAATGGAGTGTTGATGAGCCTCAGACTGGGAGGCGGTAGGGACTGGTCGTTGTGGCTTTTAGGCAAAGGGGCTATGAGGTAAGTTTGTCTCTCTCTCTCTCTCATTCTCTTTCTTCCCCTTCTCCGTTCATGCCTCTTCCCTCCAGTCTTTTGACGACATCGTAGCTGAAGACGTGTTTAGAAGAGGAGGTAGAGGTCGTCCACAGAAACAGTATAAGGTCTGGTTTGCTTATCAGGAACCGGAGGACGACCGCTGGTTTACTAGAACGGAACTTCTAGAAACAGCTCCCGACATAGTTAGAGCCTACGAGAGAGATAAGAAAGGTAAAGGTCCTGCCTTGGACTGAGTTATTCTCAGAGGATCTCGAATTTAGGCCGGCGGGAGTGAAACGGTATTCACCTGCTAGCAGTAGCGAATGCAGACCTCAGGGCTCGATCCCTAGACTTTACCTTACCTGTGTACATGATCTGCGTCGACCCCGAGAGTTGAACCCGTGACCTGTGTATTCACACTCAGATCCCCAGATTGTTTTCTTGACCCCTTCCCTCCCTCGGAATTGGCAATGGTTGATGTTCAATGGTATGCTTTGGGAGATGGCTAGATTTTAAGCTTCCAGGGTCTATATCAATTTTTTTTTCTTTCAATTATGGTTGTAATTATTCACTCTGCATAGGCAAAGGTATGGTTATATCTGGCAGCCCCCAATCAGCTAAAGAGGCAGGCAGGCTCATTTTAATTATCTGTTTTAAAGGGGAGGCTGTACGGTTGGGGTTGGGGATGGAGGGAGAAGGAGGAATTAGCAGGAAAGGATCAAGGTGAAGAGATTCCCCCCTCTATCCTCTAACCTGCTCAGTCAATCCCCTGGATCCCAGGGCAATCAATGCTGGCCGGAACCTTTCACAATTGTTACTCATTATTTCTGTTATGGTTCAAATTTATTTCATGTAAGGGACGCTGGACCCACTTCCCAGCAGGTGATGCTCCCCACCAATAGATGGATCCACCCCCCAGGTGCTAGTGGTGTCTGCTCATAACAGCACCACTATCACAGGTAGGGGCGTTTCTGTATTAAAAAAAAGAAAGAAAAAGATTACTTGTACCTTTCCTAAAACCCCACGTCACTCGAAAGTTTTGCTGAAACAGTCAGGTTACTTTCCTGAACAAGCAGCTAACTATACATTCCTGAACAGCCAGATGCATTGTACATCACTTCACAGCCAAGTTACTTAGGGCATCGTTAGACACTCCTCGGGGACGTGAAATCCACAAGGACGCGCTCGTTCCACCTGTCCTTGGGGACGACATTGAAAAAGAAATGTGAAAACGCCACACGGAAAATTCCTTGTGGCATCCTTGTGGCCCCAGCCAAAATTTCCTTATCTCCAAGGGACCACGTGAGGTCCCTTGGGGCTCAAGGAACTGTGATTCACGGAGCGACGAAGACATGCGTCGACGGAGAGTTTTGGTTCTTGGGTGGTCCAGATGTGGTCCAGCGGCGTTAGCACGGACATCCCCGCCCTCTGACGTCTGCGTAGCCCCCCAACGTACCCCAACGGCTACTGTTGGTGGTGGCCTCCAAGTGGCCTCCATCGGGTGGCGTCGTCGTTTTTGACCGGCGTCATGCAGTCTCGTGCGCTCGAGGAACGTATGCGTAGTCCCCCAACGCCCCCAAACGGCTACTGTTGGTGGTGGGCCTCCATCGGGCGGCGACATTGTTTTCAGCCAGCATCAACGGTCGGAATTTTTTTTTTTTTCCCGGCGGCACCTTCACTCCATCCACAAAAGAGGTTTCTTCACAAACGCCGTATTCCTATGCATGTCATCACATGCTGCACGTCCGATAAGACTTGTGCCTTCTCCGCCATTGTTTGCTCATTGCTGCCCTCTCCACCGTGCAATTCATGGCCGACCTGTACTGCCGGCTCCCTCTGCTGCTCCTGCTGCTTCTGGTGGTCCCTCTGCTGCTCCTTGGCGGTGTGCTGCTTCTCGCTGTAGTATCCGTGGCATCGTCGCATTGTCGAAGGTCTTCCCACGTCCCCGCCATCCTGCATTTGATCCTCACCTCGGTGTCGCTCGTGGAATGATGCCGCAACCTAACGTGCAGCACAAGTCAATGACAGCCTCCGAAGTTGCCACGTAGTAGGGGCTGTCATCCGCAGCTTGCATCAGCGTCCTTCTTCTACGCACGTGCAACTGCTCCTTACATTCATCCCAACGCCCTCTCCTGCTGACAACGAAGAATAACGGTTGACACGGCCGCCACCACGGCTGCCCGCTCAAGCGGTGTCAACAGTGCACGTCTGGCCTCTCTGCCACCCTCCATCGCCACCACCTCCACAGGGATGACGTCTCTCCGCTGCCGTCTCAATCCTCGCACCCCAGAGACGTAACCCGCTCACCCCCCGAGGAGAGGTCTGAAAAGCTGCCGCCTTTCCATGGATATCGTCCCCCTGGCGGAACAGCGTGTGACGGCGCGGACGATGTGGAGGAGAAGCTCGACGGTGATGGACGTACCTGGTGCGTGTACACTGGCCGGGAGGTGGGTGGAAGGGACGCCGCCGCTAAGGCCGATTCAGCCCTACACTGTCTGCGCGCTGCAAGCCGAACGTCGTCGCTGTCACCACAGATGTACTTCAAATTTTGAATTTCAAACGTAGAGGCCCCCCTTTTTTTATTTTACTTTTCATGGCCTGCCTCATGCCCTTTTCTGCCAGACGTCGCTGGACCATGGACATCCCCGCCCGCGGCCACATATCTTCATATAAAAATGGCCGCGGGCAGGCCACAAGGAAACGTCCTCGGGGGACGTCCCCAGGGATGTGCGGAACGCCGCCGCCAAATTCCCTTACGAGCCACAAGGAAAATTCCTTGTGGCTCAAGGAACTCGTAAGGAGTGTCTAACGACGCCCTTAGTATTATACAACGCTGAAAAGGCAGGAGGTTTCCTGCACATTCCCGAACAGGCAGGTTGGTTAACACTTTCCTAAACAGGCATGTTTCTCAGCTAAGCTGAAGGTTACTCCAACCTTTCCTACCTTCCTAGACAGCTAGTTGCCTAAACAGGCAAGTCCCCTCCCCTCCGTACAACGTGCAGGTGAACTTTTTTTTTTTTTTTTTTTTTTTTTTTTTTTTTTTTTTTTTTTTTTTTTTTTTTTTTTTTTTTTTTTTAAACGGGCCCAGTGCCCGAGGCTGATATTTCCAATAAGAAAATTGAGGCCGGGGTCCTCACAGTCTACCCGGAGTGACTGAACCGAACATGCTGAGAACCGGGCTCAGCGTCCCTCATATGATGATAATGATGATGATAATGATGATGATGGTGATGATGAACTTCTGCTGATTCTATGTAAGCTGTAAGATAGTGATACTAATGATGACGATGATGATAATGATGATGATTAGTATGTAAAAAATTTAGAAGACTATGCTATGTCAGCAAATCTGGCCTCTTAATCCTAGAACAACTCCTAGCCCTTTCTGTACCAGGACATTACATCTCAGAGACAATGCCATCCTAACCAACGTCAACCATAGCTGACCTGTTCTCGCCACCTAGACTATCCTTGGTCCTATAGGTTGTCAAGGCAGCCCCCCCGGTTCGCCACTGGACTGCTTTCCTCCCTCAGCAAATCCCCAGATCTCTCTACAAGGCCTCACACTCCTACCATTTGCAGGTTATAGGGCAACGCCCCAGCTCCGGCCAGCGTCGTTCTGGCATCGGCAAACCAGGGGCACAGAACAAAGCCACTCTGCAGATATCAGTCTAGATTCCACCATCTCTGAAATCCTATATCCGAACGAGGAAGAAAGTCAGATGCCGCCAAGAATTACAGCACACCATAAAACTTGATCTAACATGATTGAAGACTGTGGAATTCTGAAGCACCTGATACTACGTAGTACGCAAGCTTGTCCAGGATCTTTAAAGACAGCCGTTTGTCTCCCAGACGCGTACATAGCACTAGAAAATAACCTTGGAAATCAATTGAAGAAATCTCCTTCCCCCCCCTTCACCTTCCCCCCCGTCCCAGCGCTGCCTCCACCGAAGAGAATCGCCATGCTTGCAGAGATTCTCCATTGGCCCCAGATTGGGACAGACCCCCTCCCCCTCCTGTTCCTACAAAGGCATCCAATTCCCACCTAAAGTATGCCTCTGGCAACCAGAGATTCTCCATTGGCCCCA